ACAAAGTTGATTATGAACAGAGTCTTGTTAGTAATATTGATTGTGAACAGAGTCTTGTTAGTAATATTATTTGTGAATTTCAGATGCTTCTATGACGGATTTTCTTTTGTTCTCCCTTAGAAATCGATGTAAAGAATTCGTATCACTGCATAGTGGTAAGACGCTCTATTAAGGATGTGTATGCCTGTTGTTTATGCATTTGGATGTATATGTATCAAGATTATTGATAAAATAAATTAGTAAGATGACATGCTTCCATTAATTGCGTTCGTTGTAATTATTGAGCTCCATCTAGAAGTTGTTTATGTTTCACACTTAGCTTATTGGTACTGGTTCAGCCGACAAAATTTGAGGCATCTTCAGTTGTTATTAGACTTTATTTTCTCTTCTTAGCCTTATCAGCATTCATTTTTCCTTAATTCTGGGCAGTGTCCGTCATATTCGTAGCGTTATTTGTTGAAATTTACAAAATTTCTTTTTTGTTTAAAATTCCAGTTTTTCCAGGCTAGCGAGCGAATATTGATTATTTTTCTCTAGTAACATCAGTAGCTGTAGCTACGTTGTGCACGCTTTCTGATTATTATTCTAACGTGCTACTAAATTCTATTATTTTTTTCTCGATCCAAGTTCCCATCAAATCTCAATCATTGGTTTTATTCAAGGAATAGATCAGTTTGCAACAATGAAAATGAATTTGTCGGAAAAACAGCGCGATGAATTGTATGTGGAAATAATTTGTTTTTTTGCTCTTCTATAAATAATTTTGCAAAAATCTTCTGTACGAGTATGACAATGGTTTGCGATGCTTTTGGTATATATTGTCATAAATTATCTTGGTTTATACGCAAAGAATAAATTCAAAACAGTTTTTTCTTTTCCTGTAATATTTATTGGGCATGACTTAGTATCAAAGCCGGATAATGTATGGCGTTATGTTTTTCCCGGAAATTCAGATTGAATTTTCACGATACGTTTTCCAGAAACCGCGCGATTGCTGATTATCTCCAGTCATATGGTTATACCGAATCATTCGATGCTTTCAGACGAGAAACAGGCTTGGTTAGTTTTTCTTTTCAGGATGAGAGGAAGGCGTTGTTGGTGATACTTCCTCAGTAAATGTCCGTTTAGAAATTATTACTTCGCATATTTCAATTTTAAAAGGTCTTCAGATGGAAAACGATGATAAAAAGTAATGGGTTTACTGGAAAAGAAGTGGACATCAGTAGTCCGTTTACAAAAAAAGTTATGGATTTGGAAGCAAAGCTACAAGAAGCTGAACGAGAATACATACATGGAGCACCAACGAGGTTGCAATAATATTATTCTGATATTCAAACGATTTAAGACGGCAAAAGTTAACACCTGTTGATTTCTAGAATTAAATCTAAATTGTCATCTAGCTATAGTTTTCCTGAAGTTCTGCGCGAAGCGTTCATCCATATTTGACAACTATTTTACTTGATCAGTATCCTCCTTTCGTTTTTCGCTTGCTCAAGAAAACTTACTGCCTACAGAGAAAAACGGCAACCAGGGGAATGGATTCCACGACCGCCCGAAAAATTCTGCTTGAGTGGTCATCGTTCGCCAATCACCCGAGTTATATTCCATCCTGTCTATAGCATAATTGCATCCTCTAGCGAAGATTCGACAATTAAGGCAAGTTATTGACGTATTTCTTACCTTTTGCATAACTAATCATTAATCTTACTTGATTTTACGACTATTCTTGATGTTGTCCTTCACTGAAATGACTTGGACCAGCTTTTTGCAGGTGTGGGATTTCGAAACGGGCGACTTCGAGCGATCAATAAAAGGGCATACTGATGCCGTACAGGATCTCGCATTTGATAATGGTGGAAAGTTATTAGGTTAGATTCCGTTTTTTTGCTTATAATTTAGACATAAAATATACCAAGACAGTTATCTTTCTGAAGCTTATTTTTCTGGGTTATTTATATGGGATTATAGATTTTTCCGGTGATACTCTTTCATGTTCATCTGCACAGATGACAGGAAATGGTAAAGCTCATTCATGTTCTTTCCGAAGCTGGTGGAATTGTTAGTAACACCGACATATTTTGCTTTAAAATTTGATAACTAGCGAAAATACTGAAAATACTGATACCTATTGCCAACCGAAAAATCGAGCACGCTTTTATCTTTGACACACAGAAACGTCGGTGCCAGTTCTCTTGTTTTGGACTGCTTATCCTTGGTTTTGGCAGTACCATCCGTTAATATAAGGATATTTTGAAAAATTGCGTATTATGATGATTAAGGACCAGATCATCAAATCCTTGTTTTATGTTTTAGCATCATGTTCTGCTGACATGACAATCAAAATATGGGAATTTGTACAAACATTCGATTGTATGAAAACACTTAAAGGACACGACCATAATATTTCATCAATCGCATTCCTGCCTTCTGGTATTCTTATCTTCTTTTAATTAAACTGAGTTGAACTCAATTTAAATGTAATAAGTCGAGCTTTTTAAAGTTCGTCCTTTTGCTCATTCGAAAGATTAGAAAAGAGGTGGATCATTACTTTCCGCGTACATAACTGTTTGTGGTGGGGAAATTTTGTCCTCAACTATACTTAACATTTCCATTTTATTTGAATATCCCTCCTCCTTTTCTTTAATGAAATAAACAAAGAGAAGGGAATGCCATGTCATTGCTGTGAATCAGTTTTGAATTAGGTCATTTAAGAAATTTTGTAGCGATTACCACTACCTTATTCATAATGAGGTTGGATTTAAAAGAATATGAAATGTAAATGCAAGTAAAAATAATTTCTCTTGATGGGAAAAAGATAAAGTTGATTTAGTTGGTTTTTTTTTTCAGGTGATCACTTACTGTCTGCTTCACGAGATCATTTGGTGAAAATGTGGGAAGTAGCAACAGGTTATTGCATCCGAACATTTGCTGGCCATAATGAATGGGTACGAATGGTACGTGTGCATCATGACGGAAATATGTTTGCATCCTGTAGTAATGATCAGGTAGTTCTTGTTTTTGACAAAATGGGTTTCTGGCAAAGCCAAAGTTAGCGCTTCTGCACTCATTTGAAAAAAAAGAATAAGCCAACTTTGTTCTCCATCTGCTCATTCCCATATACACTTTTTTTTAAAAAAAAAATATTTGTTGTAGACAATTTGCATATGGAATACACTGTCAAAGGAATGTAAAATGCAGTTCTTCGATCATGAACACGTTGTTGAGTGTGTTCAATGGGCACCTGACAAGGCTCTTCGTTATGTCGCTGAAGCTGAACAAGATCATTCTTGTAAGTTTAAATGCTTTGCATCTTATATGAGTATGTGTTTTTTTTTTTTGATTCAAAATTGTAGAATTTTGCTTCGTAGTTGGAATGTTACCCTCAGAAATTCCACATTCCCTTCCAGCTCAACTCATCTGTTTGTCTATCCATCCAGCTCTCCTGTCGTTTTTCCTTCATTGCTCTTAAATAGATGTATGAGCGTGTTGGTTATTGGTTCAATGAGGTAGTGATATGTATCTGAAACTTTTATTTTCCGGAAAAAAACAATTTTTAGCTCAAATGAATGGTGATGCAAAAAAAACTGATAGTATGATTGCACCGAAATTGGGACCAATTCTTGTTTCTGGTTCTCGAGACAAAACGATCAAGTTTTTTGATATCAATGCGGGATGTTGTTTATTCACTCTGGTAAATCTTTTGCTACTTCCTGCCGCATGTCAACAATACATATTTGTGGAAGTTTGAACAACTACTAAACTGTCCGAGGGACTACTAAACTGACGTGACCAATAGATAAATCAATTAGTTCATTCGTTCATTTACATTTCACATCCTAAACTGTGCTCCATAGAAATTATGGTCTTCACTGTAATACCAATGCGATTGTTAAATTTTGACAGTAATTTAAAATTATTAACTAAATTATTAAATAAGCTGAAAACCGATGGAATTCAATTTCTCCTATGATAAAATCAAGAGCTGCCATGATTTTTGCTTCGAATTAAATAGTTGTAGTACTGCTTACTTTATCGACGAAGAAACGTTCCATATTCATCTAAAAAAATTAAAGAAAAAGAAAAAAAAACCTTCCCATCATTTTTCTACCGTTAAATAAATGTCTTCTTTAAATTTTTAGGATGATGTCGTTTTCAGATTGGTCACGATAATTGGGTCCGTGGATTACGGTTTCATCCTGCTGGTAAATATCTACTCTCAGTTGCTGATGATAAAACATTACGCGTATGGGCAATTGCGCAGAAACGTTGTGCCAAAACATTAGATGCTCACAAACACTTCGTCAGTTCACTTGGTTTGTATCATTTAGATTTGATGTTGTGTGAAATTATCTGAAATTCTGAGTATTTGTTTGACGAATTCCAGAATGCATCGCTAGCCGGTGAGTCGTTTTTTCGTTGTAATCCGTACAGGCGCAGTTTTCCTAGGCATTTTCGCGTTATGCTATTCAGTCATGCTATTTTTCGCAGGTTTTATGACGATTAAAGCTCAATATTTAATAAAAGATACCAGGATGTATCAGTCATAAGATTCTCGTTTCAGACTTCCATTCGTCTTTACCTTACGTTGTGACATCTAGTGTGGATATGACGATTAAAGTATGGGAGTGTCGTTGAAATGGAAGGATTTACAAATAGCGTAAACGAAACAATGAGTTTAACCTACTTTTCCATTCCTACTGACATCATGCGCAGTGCTTCGCTTTCTATTGCATATTCCTTCTGTAATTGGATGATCTACTCAAGGTGTAATTTGTTAGAGGGTTTACGCTACTCTACGTTTTATACTAATCAGGTGAATTACTGGGTAGGTTCTTATGAAGTTCAGCGATGTGTCAGAAACGATTAAAGAATCAGGATGAATTTTAGTTGAATTAAAAAGCTGTGCTATAATTTCTTTCATTTATATTCCTGTTTTCCATCAGAATATTTCCGATTTTTTAATTTCGCGTTTATTGTTTCTTTCGCTTTCAGCAAGATCTTTCAGATCATTTCTACATTCTTTAGAATCACTGGAATTATTTGTAAAAAATAACTTCTGATAAGCATTTGAATTCCTCATAAGTATAACATGATGAGGAAGAAGGAGGAGACATGGTAGGAAGGCTACTAATTAAAAAATTTCCGTCGATTAGAAATTTCACTGATTAAAATTTTTTCACTGGTTAAAAAATTCAAAAATTTTCATTTTTGGCATATTATTCTGGATTCTAATTTGTTGATTTTGCAGAAAATGTTTTTATCCTGCATATATAGAAAGTCAGCTAATTTTTTTCATTTAACCATAAATGTTACCTTTTTTGTATACGATACTCCATTATTTGTCTCTTCTCTTTTAATTCACTACTTTTCTCTTTTTTTATTAGGTTTTCAAGAATCTCATTACGATTTGCGTGCTTCTTTTTCTATTTTTTCGTTTGCTTGTATGTTTTTGTGTAGTCGAAAACCGTGTTTCATGTTTTCAAATTGGATTCTTGTATATTTGTTCCACAATACTACTATCACTATTATGGACTTTGGATATAATCTTAAATTATCATTAATTTGCAGTTGTTTAGGCGTGATTCGGGTATATACATACATATTCAAGGAAGCTTTTTAGCATCCAGAATTTCATGAATATTGCGTAAATTATTGTTGCCAAAGAGCAATCAAATTAGCGGAAAAAAATGAAAGTGTATATATAAATATAAATAAATGTTCGATTCATGAGATTTCTGAAATCTACAAAAATAGAGATTTGAGGAAACGAAGAAAGGAAATTATAATTAACGTAGATATATCTTTGTATAAATGCGCTTGAATACTGATATTCGTTTGTTCGCGTTTGTTTTCTATGCGTTTAAAAAAAAAAAAAAGAGAACTGTTATTTGTATAAGACTGGCACTCTGATACTGTTTGCAGATTATCTAGTGAGGTTCCACTGATTTATGTAGAAATATTCTGAAGCCAAAAATGTGGACGGAATTGAATCCATTTCCTTTTTAAAATAATTATGTGCCAGAGCCAATACTATCACTAATATTTTGTTGGTCAAGATTATGATGTTTTAAAATTCCTGTAAAAATTGGATTATTTTGCTTCCTGCAGATGTTTCTTGTATTAAAAAACTTGAAAAATTACCAATAAAATCTAAAAGCCAACGTCTTTATTCTTCGCAGTTGTTTACTTTCAATATATCGATAGTATTGATCTTATTCCAGTTGAAAGGATAAGTTTCCGGAGACTTTATTGCTGAAACAAATGCCCTATAAAATTTTTGAAGAAGTTGGGCAGATTGAATTCGAATATGATTACGACAGAATATGCCAGAATGGCTAATGTTGAAGAGTTGAGTCATTTGGTGATAAATTGGTGGGAATTTAATCTTGCGTGCTGAGTTAGATGTTACTGATGTTTGATAATGTGGGATTTAATATGAATGCATTCACTTGGTAGAAAAACATTTTGCCAGAAGTCCGATTCCTTTTCAGTCTCATATTTAATGTTGAAGTTTTTTTGAAATTCAAATGTTTCAGGTTTGAGGGAGGTAAGGCAAATAATGGTAAGGTAAAGCTATGAATTTTGCAGCGCAATTGTTGAAGATGGATTCTGTGCTTTGCACAACCATTCGCGTAAGTTTACATAAAATATAAAATTTCGTAAATGTTTGTTGTAGTTTAATAGGGTGTTTGTGGGATTAGCAAAACTAAAAATTATAGTAGCTGAAGAGTGATTTGTCGGAAAGGGAGAACCACGAGACACTGTCTTCATACATCTTTAAATTTTAGGCTTCTTTTATTTTTTCATAGCTATCTAAGATTTTTAACCATATCATTATTACTGTCAATGAATTTATCACTTTATCAGAGGTTAAGGTATCCACTCGATGTTTCAGCCGAAATTGCTGAATTTCAGTGCTGCAATCTTAAATCAAAATTAGAATCTAAAAATGATTAGTGAGATGATTTCTCATAATCACTTGTTGCGGACGCTATACTGCTAATGCATTAATTTATTTTTAGCACAAGACCGAATTATCCAAAAACACATTGGATATGTTATTAGGGAAGGTATTGAAACACACACATATTGGAAATGATAAAATCCCATGTGTCCAGGTAAAGTGACATCTTTGATTTGAAATTAGCTCGTGGAAATAATTCTAGTTTTTACTCTTCATCATGAACCGACTGTCTTAGTTAATGTATCATCCAATGAAGACGGTATTTCTCGTGTGAAAAACAATGTTAATGCTATGTCGTTTGCAGGTTAGATGTCGATTGAACGACTTTGATGAATATATTAAGAAGTATTTCTCACGACCTATTGATCTATGGGCATTAGATCCAAAAAACGCAGCAGGTAATTTGTTAATGATTTAAAATCACAACAAAAGATTTTTACGAAATTTACTAAATGTGATGATAATTTCTGGAACTTTTGTTGAGTGTTTTGTTGGAAATTTAAATTAGCGCTTGCAAGAGGATTATTGTTTTTATTCACTCCTTGTACTTCAAGTATGAGTTTGTAAAAAGACTCTAGATTTTGGTCGGATTCTTTGGCTTTATTAGATTTAGCAGTTACTTTGAATTTCAAAACTTTATGCATCAGCTGTGTTGGTCTTTTGCCTTGGAAACTGTTCAGAAAAACATCAATGGTCAAACACGTATCAAATAATGCAGAAAACAGTAAAAGTGCATAATGCCAGTGCGAAGTTACTTACACCATCTTTAGTGGCATTTATGCGCAGTTAAAGAAATTGACAAAATATTTCCAGGACTGGGTGATACTATCTTAATCACAAAATGCGATGTAAATGAACGACCGGCCAAATTAGTGACACATATTGTTGATCGAGTGATGTTCAAGTATGGTAATATTATCGACCCGATCACCAAAAAACGGGTAATCAAGGAGAAATATGAGGACGAAATTAACTTACAGACAAAACTAGTGAAGGAAATTATCGAAGAGCCATCGTCATATGTAAGAACTTCCTGAATTATTTTATACAGCTTCTGAATGTGAGTCTGTTCAAAATGGATCCTTTGCTGATTCATTCGGAGAATTCAATCTAATGAGGTCTTCGGGGTGTAGAAGTGGCAGTGTTTGGGCAGTCTCTGAAAGAGCAACAATAGGACAATTATCCTGAAGCTTGAATAATGCATACCAAATCATATCAACATACTGGCTAACTAATGCGTAGGACATCTGTTTGACGGTTAGCATCATCATTTGATAAGTTGATGCACAGTCGTCCTTGACTTGATAACGCATATCCTGAGGAGACGCAGTGCAATGAGCGGTGGGTGCTGACATGCACTTGTTTTACGGTTGAGTGGATATCACTTAATTTCATTTTTCTTTTCAATCGAATATCTTTTCTTAGAGGCTTGATAAATCGAAATATTTCCATAATCTTTAAGCTGTAATGTTGTTTACAGCACTATTTTATAATATGACACCAAAATACTGATTTGTCCAGAATCTTGAGTAGTATATTTTCTGTTGGCAACCAACGTCTTTTGCATATTGTATATCCAAACACGATTTATCCGCTTATTTTAATGCACTCCCTGGTTAAGTTATCAACAAAATCTTATTCAGTTCGTGCAAGAGTTTCTACTTTAGGACGTGCTGTTATTTGAAGAAAAAAGGGATATACAGCAGCGACGGTTAAACACCCGCAAAATGGCGATGAGTCGGCGTGAGTTATCGAATCAGCGGCGTGTATCAACGAGGCGAGGAATCAAGGATACCAGTAAAGAGAAGGAAGAAATACTCGAGAGAGACAAAGAGCAGGATGATTAGCGATGTGGGTGAAACAAATTAGGTCTTTTTATGCTGGTTTAATGAATTTATTTAAATTTCACGTTAGTACTTGCCAGTTTTTCGAAGCATCAGACCTTGTAATATTTTTCTTCACGTTTCTTAGTAATCTTCATTTTTACTTTGCATATCGGTTTCCACATGAGAGATAATTTCCTAACCAGAATCTTATTTCTCCTTTATCTGTTTAAAAACTTGTAATCTGTTGCATTTTCTTGAATGATTATGTTTGTATATTTCTGTTGGATTTTTTTCCTAGTTTATGCTGAATTTTTTAAATCTCCCGAAAAATAAATTTTGATGATAACTACATATGTGAATTCTGTCATCCCGTTGTAAAATTCTTACCAGTACTTCTTTCAGAGTTTGTTCATCAAATTAAGCTGCCAGAATAAAGATTTCCAAAATTATTAAGAAGGTAATTGTCAGTAAAAGAGTGTTGCAATGTGTGCGAAAGCACCGTATTAGCATTCAACATTCTGTTAGGCATATGATTAGATATAAGTGTTGAATATCATTTCAGTAATGGAGGAAAGTGAGGAAGATGATCGTTGTTCAAGACCACGTGGAGTTAACGTAATACATTTAGTGAAAGAACGAGTGAGACAAATTGCTGAGTTAATTCAGGTTGGTTTTCTGAAATCTATCCCTTGGAAAGTTTGGAAGACATTATTGGTTATATCAAATGGTACTTGATGTAATTATTTGACAGATTCTCATTTCTGTATGTTTGCCGAGGAAAAATCAACTTGTGTCTTTTTCAAGGCCGTCGACAATCGTGTGCTGATATCGGGAGAGGTGACCAAAGGACCGCGTACAGCAGTGCAACGTTTGCCGCGTCATATGCGTCGTCGTGCAATGTCCTATAACATCAAACGTTTCCCACGCATGCAACGTCGTTTTGCAATTTCAGCAGTTGCAGCTTCGAAACATCGTCAAAAACCACCTAGTCGTTTTTGGAGAAGGCGACCAAGAAACTTACTTTTGGTAATTTTTCTGTAAGTATTAAATTGGGGCAACACTAAAAGGATGTCGATATAAGTTGCACATTGGTTTATCTGCTCTTCTCTAGCAGTCTTGTGGATTAATTTTGATTTTTGCTCATGATCACAAGCTCACTGATATGTGCTAGATGAAGTTATAAATCGCTAAAAAGATGGAAGATAATTAGATTATAAATTTGAGACGTCTAGTGCGACACGGTGAGTTAACCAACACATGATACAGCTTTTTGGTTATCAGTTCAAATCTGAATCTTCTGTAGTTATAAAAGTCAGCTAAGTAATGCTTATTTCATAAGTGCGTCCTATAATAACATTCATGAAACAATAAATTTTCCCCCGTGTTACCTAATCTCGTGAGTAACACTTCTGCATATGTTCTCAAATCAGTGCACATTTGCATATATATATATATATATATATATATATATATATATATATATATATATATATATATATATATATATATATATATATATATATATATATATATATATATATATATATA